ACTAGCGACGGATGTCGCCAATAATCGCATTAATATTTCTGATTGATTCTATGTTTGATTATTTCTTTGAATATATATATATATATTTTATATATATATATATATATATATATATATATATATATATATATATATATATATATTCTCTTCTATTCGACAGTGTGTCGTTCATATTTTTATTTCAGAGTTTAACCCCTTGGAGGATCATAACATTAAAAGAAAACCAACATACTTACTATTACTGCATTCATTCCGAAATAGCAGTACTGCTATTTGTGTCAGTTATGTGCCGTGCCTGATACACGCTTAGGCGATCATGTATGTTTCGATACATGACTGACGAGGCAGATTTTTTCCCACAGTACGTTGCCATTTCTTTCTGCGATAGACCAGTTGACATCCAAGGCTATAGAACCAGGTCTGTTCTGCTATTTACATATAGCTGGAGGGAGAAAGAAGAACATTCATACCTTTAGCACGTAAGTAAATATAATGTATTCGACTGGAATTTGAACTCGGCTCTCCGATTCCTCAATCCTAGTCGATATCCATTACTGTCCCGTTTTTAAAACATTTGTACAGTGAATACGGAGGCAGTGAATTCCTGTACATATCAGCTTTGGTTTAAAATAATTCTATATTGAGATCATGTCAGAAAAACGAAGATTTTGGCTAACAAACTAATGTGTAATGTTTATCTGTTCACGAATATCCCGAGTGAATTAAGAAAACTTGCAAAGAATGAACCCGTGTTAAGATTTCGGTTGAGAGCTTAAAAGTACATTCCATCATTTGCAGCATATTCTTAGCCAGAAGTAGAACCCTTCATTTTTGCATCGCATTGTTAAATAAGGTTGATTACCAAAAATAGGAAGCAAGAGACATTAATAAAAATTATAGAGACACGTATAAATGACTAATATTTATCCATAGAATCAATTGTAAACGATGAATATTTATATGGCCTTTTACTTGGTTCAGTGATATGTAGATGCCGGTTAGTTTTACTTTATGTTCGAAGAGAGGTAAATACTGGACATTAAGACTTGGTACTATAAATATTCATCGTTTATCCTTTTGTCTGTAAATATTTAATTGGTTCGGAGATAGGTACATATCAATCATTAATCCTTTATAAGCATGCAGGGATAATTTTGTGAATATTTCCTGGATATTGTATATCAGGAAATTATTAATTGTACTCATTATTACCGTCATGATTGGATTAGTCTAAAGAAACTGAATGATTAGGAAAATCCCTGAAGAATCCAAAACATTCAAAGAAATGATGTTGCACCTACAAAAACCGAAAAGATATTTTCCCAAGCAGGGGTGGATGTAGCCAGGATTAAATCATTACCGTAATTCCCCATGTATAAAATGCATTTTTTCTAAAAAAAATAATAAGCAAAATTATGGGTGCGTATTATGCACAGCAACAATTTTTTTAAAAAATTGCCGTTTCATAGGTCGATTTCAGTTGCAAAATGACTACCCACCACAAACATACGACAATTTCACACTAACAGTCGTCGATTGCGACCCCATAAGTATGTCAAATACGATCATATATACTTAACAATACTTACAAATGTAAAATAAAATAACAATTATCATAAAATTAAATTAGAACAATATTATTCTATGATTAAAACCATTTTTTAATAAAATAGGAGTCGTTGGCCATAATGAAATTGGAGAGGTACAATTTATAGGGTTTGATTACCAAACAAGGATGCGTATTATGCGTGAGTAGAAGTATTTTCCCACATTTTCAGCACAACTTTAGGGGTGCGTGTTATGGATGAAGATGTATTATATATGGGGAATTTCTGTAGTTAACTTAGACATTTAGATGCCGAAATGTAAAAAACACGCAGGCGTAGTTTCAGTAAAATAACAAAACCATCAAATCAGAATTAAGGATACAACATCTGGCCAATCAAATGGAAGATCGAAAATCTTAAATTTTGATCAAGGTGAGCTTATCTAGCAGCGGAGAATTAGCATTTAGACAATGGTATAGTGAGAAATGGAGAAAGCAATCTCTGTTTTTATTCATGTTTTTGTATTTAGAGGCGCTGTAATAGTTATTAGTTGGGAATTCGTGATGTCATTTGTAGCAGCGAGCCATGGAAATTGCTTGGTGTGCCGCAAGTTGCGCACATGCCTTGGGTTTCTGACCCCTGGTCTAGGATACACATAAAATGAGGCCTAAATGATTTTATCTGGGTCTTGTTTTACGACTACCGACAGAAAAGTCTAAATATAAAACGTTTAAATCACTATTTACAAATAGGAGAAAAAAAAATTAAGCAAATCAATTTTTTGGAACATTCAATGAGAACAACGCTTCTGTTTCATATTGTCACATATTTTTTTAATGTTTCATTTTATACTTTAGAGCAGAGGTCGGCAACGTTTTGCTAACGATGTGCTGACTTAGGGTTTTAAAATCATTCAGTGTGCCAACAGTATACGTATTTTTATACAAGACAAAATCAATATACCTGTTTTACAATATATTTTAGATAGAAATATATAGTGTATATCCTTTATTATATATTAAAAGTGAAACAGTTAAATATCTTTGTTTTTTTTTATTAAAAGATCGCGATAGTTATTAGGTAGATGTGAATAATATACTTTATTATTTTAAAACATTATTCTGTGTTAATAGGCATTACAACATAGTACAAATAGCTCTATATGCATTTTTTTTACGTATTTATGGTTATTTTTAACATTTAATATCTGTTTAGCATCCCATGGAAAAGGCCTGATATAAAAGGAATAATATCATATGATGCAATATTTGAAATACGATGTATTCGTTCCATCCCTTTTTTTTTCGATCATGAGCGTTCATTTTTTTTTCCTTGTTGAGGAGCATATGTTCTGTCCTGTTCTTTCTGTTATCCTTTTACGCTTGTTTGTTGCCTGTTCCATTTTTTTCTATCTCTACACACTTCTCGTTGTTCTGTTCATCTTTTGCCTGCTTGCGTTTCTTTCTAGTTTTTTTTTTAATTAACAGATCGCAACAGCTATTAGGGAAATGTGATTAAATATACTTTAATGTTTAAAAAGATATTCAATATTATTATTGTTTAGTTAATAAGCATTATAACATAGCACAAATAACAACATTGTGGAAAAAAGGAATTTTCGCCAATATAAGCATTTTTTACGTATATAGGGTATTTTTTAACTTTTAATATTTGTTTAGCATCCCATAGAAAAGGCCTGATATAAAAGAAATAATATCATATGATGTAATATTTGAAATACGTTCTTCATAAGAACAGCAAAAACAAGGAATGTGGCGAAGTTCGTTATATTTTTTCTTCTAAGTCGTGGATAACTTAATTTCGATGAAAATGATGAAAAAGATTTTAAATTAAATTTAAGAACTACACAAAGTTTCTTACTAAAATTCAAATACAAAAGCTATTTTGACTCTTCTGATCTTATTAATTAATAAATTTAAATGTATACATTAATTACTAATTATTATAACCATTTTGCTAATATTTCATGTTTTCTTTATTTTAACAGATCGCGACAGATATTAAGAAGATGTGATTAAATATAATTTAATGTTTTAAAAAATATTCAGTATTATTATTGTTTAGGTAATAGTCTTATAACATAGCAGAAATAGTTATATTGTGGAAAAAAGGAATTTTCGAACATATACGCTTTTTTACGTATTTAGGGGAATTTTTAACTTTTATCAAAAACGACATTCTTGTACATGTAGTTATGGATAATATTATACATTAATTACTATTTTTTTAATTAATAACTATTCGTTTGATGCATGAATAATCTCGAAATAGGCCAATAAAGAAGTAAGGAGAGAAAGAGGTGAGACTGTGAAACTCAGTATAATTGAACAGAAGAAGCTAGTTCCATAGAATTATAAGCATAACCAGAAAAGAGTAGGAACAGCAATGCACTGAGAACTGTGCAAATTTCTTGCGTTTGACCATATAAACAAATGGCATTACTATAGACGGCATAACTTCGTTTTCTCTGGAAAACGAAAAAGATATTACGGATTATTTTGAAATGTCAAAACTTAGGACTACCACCTTATCAATGCAAAACCACAAGCACAGAAGCCTAAATTATGTCACTCTCAGAATATAACCGGGTATAATTTATTCTAGTTAAGAATTACCACCGGTGTATGATTGATTGGTGCTAGCATACTTTTAACCTCGGAGTATAAAATAGCCTAGTCTAAACTATATCCCACAAAACCAGGTTATACCAACTTTTATCTCTTCGCATCAAAAACTGTTTTTATTTTTATGTGATACTTCAGTCTTCTTTTTTTGATCAAGTCGATACACTACGTCCATCAAGTGTTGCGCACAAACACTTACTTTAGGTGTTACGGTTTCGAGGTCATTAAATGTACATGGATTTTCAAGAATAGGGCAAACGAGAAGATGTTCCAGAGTTTGTAGTTGCCGAATTGGCAGGTTTTTTTCCATTCATTTTTTACCATGCCGAGAGGATCTATTGCCACTGATCTTTTTTGTGGTCCTCCTGATGATAACACCGAACTCCTGGAACAGGCTTTCGCGCAAACCAAGGGAAAGTCCATCCGGAATGCTGCACTAGAATTCAGTATGAACAAAATCACGATTCAGAAGATGTTTCGGAAAGTGATAAACCCATACCCGACTTTAGATTGTTCAAACACTTCGCGCAAAAGATTATAGGGCTCGTTTGGAAATGTGTGAGTCAATTCCCTAGCATTACCAAAACAGCCCTCATCTCTTGCAAAAATTATAGTTCAGCGCCGTGTCTTTTATCTCTCTGTTTGGGTAAACCGACGCAACTATCTAATTTGGGGGGAAATCAAACCCAGTAGAAATCCTCAAGCATGAACATCACTCTCTGAAGGTGGTGGTTTGATGTGCTATGTCTTCCACTGGGATGATTGGACTATTTTTCAGCAATATATCCGGTAACACAACCACTGTTACAGGGGTGGGGGGATATCTGAAGCGACCAAGGCTTGCAACTGAGGCCTGAGACCGAGGCCTGCAACCGAAGCCAGCAACCGAGGCCTGCGACCGAGGTCTGCGACCAAGGCTTGCAACTGAGGCCTGAGACCGAGGCCTGCGACCGAGGTCTGCGACCAAGGCTTGCAACTGAGGCCTGAGACCGAGGCCTGCAACTGAGGCTTGAGACCGAGGCCTGCAACCGAGGCCAGCAACCGAGGCCTGCGACTGAGGTCTGCGACCAAGGCTTGCAACTGAGGCCTGAGACCGAGGCCTGCAACTGAGGCCTGCAACCGAGGCCAGCAACCGAGGCCAGCAACCGAGGCCTGCGACCGAGGTCTGCGACCAAGGCCTGCGACCGAGGTCTGCGACCAAGGCCTGCAACTGAGGCCTGAGACCGAGTCCTCAACCGAGGCCTGCAACCAAGGCCAGCGACCGAGGTCTGCGACCGAGGCTTGCAACCGAGGCCTGCGACCGAGTCCTGCGACCGAGGCCTGCAACCAAGGCCAGCGACCGAGCCTGGCTGAAGTTAGTCCTGAAGGCGTTGGAAGCTGATGGTAAATCTTGCAAGTATAACTGAAATGTCTCCTAATGTTGATACTAAAAATATAAAAAAATCAGTTTCTTATGTAATTTTTAGGAATTCACTAAAAATGTATACTGACTTTTGGGACACCTTGTATAGTGTTTTTGGCTATGGATATGAGGATAAACTACATCCGGCAGCAAAGCCTTTGATCAGGAGATTGCAGGTCTTGAGAATCGTGAAATCACCTCTTAATTACTGTTGTTCCCAGGTCCATCCTGATCTGGGGTGGTAGCACCTGTTATGATCCCAACTATGAGCAAACAGTTAACCCCTAAACAATTACAAAACACTGTGAAAGTACGAAATATATTTTATAGTAAAAATACCAGTAATACATATTTATAGTAAAATAACTAACAATACAGTTTATTTGTAGTTGAGGATATGCAATTGCTTCCAAAATATATTTAGTTGAAGCCATAATTTTTTTTCAAAATATTTAGGTTTCGGCATATAGGTGTTGATATGCCGCTACAAAAAAATCAACCAACTAAACCATTGTTTCATATTTTGGCCAATTCTAGACGTTCTATTCTTGATTTTTGGTCCACATACTGCAGATAAGTTTGGCGCATCATTATTATTATTAGTAGTAGGAGGAGGAGGAAGATAGAGAGCCGTGACTAGGGCTCAGTCTGGATGTGAAAACAGAATGTCTGGAGGGGCCCAGAAAGCGCATGCATTTAAAGAAATTTTGTCTTTTTTAAATTTTTATTATCCTAATTTTTTTTCCTTTATTGAAAATATGCTACAAATTTGTTAAGTATTTCTTTTGGTGTGATGTAGTAAAAGGTCATATTTTTCTGTGTCCTCCAGTAGGATCTTCATAGGTTGGCGTGATTTTAAGGAAAAATCCATTTAGAGATGGACGCTAAAAAGACATTTCTAGGGCGAGTGGCTGAGTTTAGCTGGCACATAACTTAATATAGAACGCTAAACCGAAAGAAGTGCAGAAGTGGATGCTACGGTGATGAAGTTAGAGGTGCCATTTTTATATTTCCATAAGTACGTGATCTGTTTCATGTCAACAAGAACGTATCGTGCTCTGGAAATCTTAACTCAATCTGTTTCCTTGTCATATTATATGAAAAGATCTCCATAGTTTATACATGAAGTTTCCAAGAATATCGCCTTCGTGTAGAGGATTTAGATGCCAGGAGATTTAGAGATAACTTCCGGCAAACGTCTATTAGTCAGATTTTGTGCTTCTAATACCCTAGGGATCTATGGGTTTGCCTGCTGTATCCACTATTTATCTTTGAGTAAGTCCCTGCAAAAATCTTTGGTAACTTTGGCATTTTATAGAAGCACATGAGCAATCTCTTCCTGTATCAGACGTGTGTAAAAGTTCCTCTGTATGTATATATTTTAATTAAAATTAGTTAATAAATACATTATACGACTACGACTTAAAATTTTAACTTCCTAAAATCAATATTATAATATCCATTATCGGAATATCGATCGAGTAAAGTACGTTTGGTTCAGTATCAGACAATGATCGTAGGACAACTAATCGACAGTAGAGACAATAGTGTCTAGGCGTGATGAAAATAATTTTCAAGGCCAAAAAAATTTCATCATGCACACTGAAAATAAATTCATATTAGCTAATATGGGTAATCGGACTTATACTAAGTTAAAACTTAATCATTTTATTCCCTTCTCCCACCTTAACAATCTTCTGCCTCCCTGCTAACTCCGACCCACATGTTTTTGTAAATATATGTTAACAATTCGTATCTCCATTCCAAAAGTCGTTCCTTGCAGAGTGATCACAGATTATCGATTGGATTTAAATCAGGAGAGTTTCCGTGTCAGTTTATAGTATTTTGATTTGCTCACTGCTAAGGTTTGCCAGTGTGTTCGTGCAGCTTTACAAATTTCGTACGCTACTCTGCAGTAAGGTCCATCGCAGACAATGGCTGTAGGACAACTAATCGACAGTCGAGACAATGGTGTCTGGTCGTGATAAAATCTGATGCAATCACGGAAGACGCAATATTTTTGAAGGCCAAAAAATGCCATCATACACCCCGAAAATAGATTCATATTACTACACACCACTGCACATAACTTAATCTAAGGAAAGAACTAAAATCGAATACACCCTCCCACTCCAAAACTAACCCTATGGGGCGAAAGAAAGGAAACTAATGTGGTTATTTTAATTAATTTGTGCATGTTGGCAAATTTTCATGCCCTCAATAAAACGATGTATGAAAGGATTTTTTCTCTTGATGTCACTATTATTTTATACTACCTTCATCTCTTCAGCAATGTTTATTTAAAACAATAAAAGCGATGATTAGAATTTTAATAAAACCAAAACAAATACAAAGGAAATTATATATATTCTTTGTTCTTGAGAATTTAGAACAAAAATATTTATTTTTTACAAGAACAAAATTATATTTACAAAATTCTAAAATGTGAAACGACATATAATGCAATAATTATCATTTAGAATTTTATAAAGAAATAAACATAAAGAAAATTTAGAGTAAATTACTAAGAGCAGATTAGATGTGGCACAAGGCCTAAAGTATTGAGTACCCAGTGAGGATCGAAATCCTTACTCTGTCGTAATTCATCTTGCGAGACTTATATAATGTAACGATTATCATTTACAATTTTATAAACAAATAAACATGAAAACCTTTTATTCGAAAAGTATGAAGCGCAGCTTAGATTGTTGTATAGGGCCAAAAATATGAAGTACCCAGTGAGTATCAAAATCACTACTCATTCGTAATAAGACTCGCGATAAAGCTTTCTAACCATTACACCGTCAATGCCCCACCCCCTATTTAGTAAGTTATAAATATATATCAACCAACTATAATGAAATCTTTATCATTTACCATTCTAAAGAATGGTAATTCGCCGATGTTTTTTCCAACCGTTCCAAAGAACACAGTTCCCCATCTTCACCATTTGCTTTACTCAAGTTGTTTGTGCTCACACTTTATTTACAACTAGCAGCATTGTCCAGCGTTGCCCGTGCTTAATTCAAAAATCGTACGACTCATACAGCAATCGCTATCACTTGACTTAAAATATTTTTGCCCTTCCTTTTCTTTAAAGGAGTGCCCTTTGCCATGCTGATGTTGCTACATGCCTTACTGCGAATTTTTTCTAAGCTCTATACTAAACATTAAATCTGTTACGAAAAAAGAACTAAACAAAATGAACACAAAACGATCAGCTTTAAAAAAGGACTCTTAACTGGAATAACCGAATGAAAAAAGAATGTTTACTTTTTCACACCCAACCGAGTTCTGCGGAATCAGAATCAACGTTGAGTTTAAGCAAGCGAATGAGCCAATTGGAGTAAAGTGCCATGCAGATTTAAATTTTTCCCACTTGTGACGAATGCAGCTATCGAATTTTTTTGCTTGCTAGCATGCTAGTTAATATTCGTGTCAGTCAGCTGTTGGCTCTCATGCTGGCCAATAGAATCTTCCTGCCTATTCGTGGCAGCCAGCTATTGGCTCTCACTCTGGCCAGTACAAAATGGCCGCAAACTACATGAAAACTGTCGTAGAAGCATGAAAACATCGATTATTTCCACTATCGATGGGAGTTGGGAAATGCAAAGTCGGTCTTCGCTAACTTGGAGCATGTGCATGTAAATTTTGGTGCAAATCCGTCGAAAATTGCAGCCGTGCATTCGTTACACACACACACACACACACACACACACACACACACACACACACACACACACACATATCCTGCCTTTTATAGATAGAGATATCTTTATCAGTCTGCAACTGGCTGGTAATAAATAAACTATTGGCAGGATTTCTAGGCATCTTTAGAAAAATTAACAATAAGATTTCACAGTTATATTTTTCAAAAATGTGTTGAGAGAAGAGAACCCATAAAATATAAAATCTCAGTCCCTGGATTTCTATAGATCGCTATTATAAACATTATTCGAAAGTTAAAACAAAAAAGTAATCTGAGATATAAAATACTTTGAGAAGAAAATATATATTTTTCGGAAAAATAATGCTTATTAAAATATTCTTTTTCTATATTTTATAGACATTATATATTAAACTTCTCGTAGACTTTTAATTACAAAATGGTAAATAATGAATATTGCATTGCAATTGGTTAACATATTTCAAAAAAATTGTAGATTTTAATTATCGCAATTTACCGGTAATGGGTCGAAATGAGGCCCATTCAGTGCCCTTCCAGAAGTCAACCTCGGCAAACGCATATATAAAGTCCGACTTTCCTTTCGTTCGCTTTCCTTTTCGACTGGCTTTTGGCCTTGACCCGTCGACCTGTGTCTTGCACTCTGTGTGACGAACTGCCTTTACCCGAACCCTAGACGGACAATGATATCGACATGCCCAATCCGGATACGAGCCTGCAACCCAGGGGAAGCTAGGACTGCTACTTAGAAGCCCACTATCACCGTAACAGACTGACCGCTGTAGCATCTACAAGCTAAGTCCGCAAACGCACTTTGTTTGCAAACACACATATAACCTTTTTACTTTCAACTTTTTTTTTCCTTGAAGTAAATTAATTGAACTCAAACGGGTGTTGTGTTTCCTTTCTTCAAAACCTGTCGTTCGAATTTGCCTGTACGCACTTCGCTTCATTTCCGAATTCGCCCGACTTGGTCTTTTATGCTAAATAATTTTCTGAGACAAAAATCCCTCCTGATAAATATTTCAATAAAACTATTTTTTTTCAAATTTATTTCGTCATAAAATGATGCATAATAAATCTTTATAAAAGATAAATAATAAATTTCGCATAGTATTTATATTTTTATAAAATTGCAAATAAACTCTACTTATGAATTATAAAGTGCATAAAAATAGCGGTGTCAAGGAAATAACCATAGTTCTCTAGTCTTCGTTTCTAACAAAAAAAATCCTGTTCTTAATACTTTGCTTAGCTT